ACTTTCCAGTGAAAGGTATATAAATTTGGACTTGCTCGGCTAATACACCGAGGTTACTAGACAAAATTTTCGGATGAATGCTCTGACTATGCTTGCCGTCGCTTCTGAAAGAAGCAAGTAGATTAGGACTGATATTCATGCTGTCTCACGCTGAAGTCGATTTAAATCCCAGTTTCGGCAGGGTTTTTTCATCAAGATTTTAGACTCGTGGAGCGCAACCCCCCTTTAATCTTATTTTGCGCAAATATGTTTAGAGAGTACGCAGAACGTTACTCAGAATTCAAGTATTTGTAGCCTTATCAAAAGCCTCAAATATCCAAAATATCACCTGAAAAATGAGGGAATGAAATGAAACAAATCAACTTATTAACACAGCCACTCTCCAAATTTGGTCATGACTACTGACGAATTTGAAATAAACAAATCGGATGCGGGTGTCAAGTTTAGATGGGAGAAACTCAACTTTCTTGCATCATAAAGGAATTGACTTTATACGCGAATTATCGACCAACTACAGCTGGACGTTTTCCCAGCAATGTAAAACAAGCTGGTCTAGAACAGAGGGTAATGCATATCAGGGGTTTATCGTCTAACCAAAGATCAGAGTGAACGTTAGTCGTGCAAAACATTTAAAATGAAGGCAAATAATCGAGCGAACTGCGAAGACATGAACAAGGTCTTCTTGGGTAGCACTTTCTTTGACGCAGAAGAGAGTGACCATTTAATTAAGAAAAATTATGGATACCAACTACATCAATGAACAAAAATAAAGGCCTTCTTCATACGACAGCCTTTGCCTTCAAATCTCGCACTCCATCGTGCGTGGACTAGAATTTCTTTATCATGAATTATACTTCTGTAATTTCTATAAACTTCAGGTGAAATTTACTGACCTGATTCCATATAAATGATATAAAAGGGGTTTTTCAAATTCTTCCAATGAATTCAGTTGGGTTAAGAGCTCTAGCGAGAAGTTTCTTGTCAAAGCATCTTTGCTCTTTTAGTGTTTATCTCTTTATATCTCATTCCGGCTAAGTTTTTATCCTATGCTAATTTTTTACAGAACGTTAGTCCCAGGTAAGGTATGTGCTTTTGAATTTATAATTGGCCCGCTCATTTGCACGGATTTTTCTCGGAAAATTCGTGCAAGTCATGCCAAGCTTGTGGTGCGATAAAGAGGAGATTTCAGATGTAATGTCATTCACATTTTGAAACTGGTGTTCTTCGCGCTTATGTTCTAAGATTGTTTCTTAGAATATAAATATTATGCAGTCGACTAAAAATATGATTTAGTATCTTTGGGATGTTCACCACACATTCTTTCGCGCTCCTTCGTTTTTTTAATTCTGTCCAAAGAGCAAATCACATTTCATTCAAAATGTGTATAGAGGAGTAAGAGGAAAGTTAGTAAAGAATTAAAAGTGAATTATGCTTTTATAATATAGATATCAGAATACAGAGCTTCGAACATGACGATTTTAGAAAACAGCAATAATTCCCGGAATGTTTTCTCCGACTTTTCAATCGTCCTTTTGAATATTTGCATTCGTCCGCGTTGATAAAGTTTTCACTATCATTTTTCCCATGAGGGCAAGGTAACAAATCCTTCAATCTGATTGGTTCTTTTCCTATCTCTACCCTCTAGGAACAGTAGCACTACGTCGAATCACATTAAGTCTTTTGTCTCTTTTAGATTTTCAGTAAGGGGAATTTGACGCATGATTATCCTTGTTCACTTTTTAAATGTCAAAGAAATAATCGGGGAGCGGTGAATCAATTCAACTAAGTGTTGTAAAGTTGTAGAGGCATAGTTGTTTTTTTTTCCTGTAATAACGCGTATCCATCTCTTTTTTCTTGAGAGCCTAGGGGTCTGAGCCTTCCCTCCATCAGACGGGCGAGTTTTTTTACTGCTACTTTGAAACGATATCTTTGCAGCCAAAAGATCGCATATTGTTACTTTCATGAATTATTCAAGATCTAGTTCACATGAAATGTTCCTAGGCTTAAGGTCTGGTCATGAAGGTAAAAAAGGAAAAACATAACTGTGTTTTCTAAATCAAATTTTGGATCTCCTCCCTCATCAAAAATTCCGGGCAGGGATCCGCTCTAGCGAAAGGCGTACCAAGTTTTTACAACGTAAAAGTGAAAAATGGACTGAACTTAAATTCTCACTACACACGAGTACGACGAAGGAAAGTGGTTTGCCCCCAAACGTTTCGCTAAGCTTGGACTTATGTTACGTTTTTCTGGTTTAAAATGAGGCTGTGCGTTTAAAATTTAAAATCTCTTCAAATTAAATTGGTGCAAAGTAAAATATCAACATCAGTTAAAAGCAGTCCAGTGCTTTACTTATTATTCATTATGCTAACCTCATGAGCACCCATTAACAGCTTTAAATAATATTTTAAAGACGATGAAGTAAAATACATGTGAGAGGATACCTTGAGTCTGGAGGACAATTCTCCGACAGGGTGAAGACCGCTCGGGGTTAACCAAAAGCGGACGGAAACTGCTTGGGGCTGAAAGCGAAAGCGATATGCAAATTGATCGCATCAGACCGCGGTCGATCATGTCAGGGAGAGAATAAATCTGAAATATGAGATATTCTCGCTCCCAGATCCTCCGCATAAGGAAAATCACATGCTCTGCTTTCCGTAATTCATGACTCAAATTTGTTTGAATTAATAAATTATGACCGTTGTGAAGTGGCTTAAGCCACTCCACCCTCCTGATTTAATCCAACCATACATTAGTTAACAAATAACAAAGATGTTCGATCGGTCGCAGTCGACTAACCAATTAAGAAGCCGCCACTACAATAACGCGAATGCGCAAGACCCGAAAGATGCCGTTGAGAATTGGCCTGTTGATGGTTTGGTTGTTACTAAATCTTAAATAATTTTACTTAAGTTGCATTTATTTTCCCGTCCTTTGAATTGCATACCTAGTAAAGGAGTTATTTTTACCATGTTCACTTTTCGGCATACGCGATTTGCGAAGTGGTCGTCTTTAAACATGTTCTGATGAATTGCACAATGTTGTCGAGCTTAGCTCCGTGGACTATTACTGCGTCAAAGTATATCCCAAGCAATTTTTCAATTGTTTCCACACTCTATCGCCTCGACTGCATTTGGTTAAAGCGTACTTTCCGCCCCTCCTCAATATGAAGGGTGTCCACTGTATACAGCTTCCTTTATCGGGTATTTGCATAATTTGGAGTCAGTTCAAAACAGATTTGACTGTAAATATTAATTTGTTGTCTTCAGCTCCTGATATGGTTATTACATGAGAAAAAAACGTTATTGAGAACTTGCTTTTCTTGTCGTTCAGGTAGATACTTGATGCGTAAACCATGAGTACGACCCACCGCTGACCAATCGGGTTGTGATGATCTTGTGATACATTATCTCCGCCTGTCGCAACACGAAGGAGGTTCTTTGCTTTATAATTCAAGGCCATCGCGGTGGAGAGAATAGAGGTCTTATCTTTACATCCCCGCCTTGGATTACCAAACTAAAGGTACTTAAACGCTTAAGAATGGCATCTACTCATAGTGCATAAGATTTAATATCCTGTCGAACAAGAGATTCAGGCTACTAGATCCATTCTGCACCATGGATACACTGAGCGGGCAACGGCAGCCGCCTGATGCTTAAAATACCTTTCAAAGGTCAATGAATTGTAAAAGTGGACTTTAACGTGACCAATTTTGTAGAGTTATGTTTTGTCTACCGCAAATAGCGCTAAAAGTGCTTAACAGCACCATGTACTTCATGCATTAAGTGGATGAATTCGATGAACGTAGAAGCATTATGCGGATGATGTGGCAGGCGTAACTACATAAATCGGGTACTTAACCGCAGTTAGCATGCAAAATATTTTCTCTCAAGAAAGTATTTAAATGCAGTTGCATTTTATTACATAAATAGATCAGTTTTCATCCGGTGAATTGTTCATATTGCGCCAACAAAAGAGTTAAGATTGATACACCATTAAAAGCAGCTAACAGCAAAACACCGACGTAATGAATGTGCATGATTTCGCGAGGGGGGGTTTCCCGGTTACTGATTTGCATTCTCGAGAGCAAACTTTTGTTTAAAAGAAGTTTAGCGCCAGCTATGGAAAACAAATAAACAGTGTTCATCTCTCAATTTTTAGAGGTAATCCCGTGATTTCGAGTGCAATTTGCGATCAATCAGTACGAGCCCATAGGGAGAGTGCAAATTTTAGTCTTTGGAGAAATTTACGAGTGCTGATTCATCCCAAATTGCACTCAAAATCATGTGATTACTTGTTAATGATATGCATGCAAAAAATCTGACTCTGTTTCGCTATTTAGCTGTGTTTATATCCTGTCATGGATCGCTGGTTCGGCCGCTTTCGTTGGCCTTGTTCTCGAAGTAGTCAGGCCTTTATCTCAAGCTCAAGTGCTTCTCTTGTAATTTCTCACTAGTATTAATAATTTCTTTGGTGACGTTCGCCTTCGAATTTGATCTAACGGATATTTCATTGCATAATTTGATAAATTGATAAATTAATACACAAAATTACAACTAGAAAAATACCTCTTCTTGTGATATATTCCATTTCATTTACATTTTCCGCTTTACTCTCAACTTCTCACGCGTGACAATTGCCCTTGCATTAGGATATGGAATATGAGCCATTGGTCTTCAAAGGAGTAGGTGATTAAAGGAACTTTCAAGAAAATTCTTCTTTTGTTTTTTTGTCCGTTCTATATTCGTTTACCTGGTCAATATATTCTCAAAACAATAACTCAATCGTTTTGCTGTGTGACCACCAAATGTATTTGACGCAGTTATTGCATATCTGAAGAATGACTACTGATATCCAGCAGCTGTAATTATCACTCGATAAGCTGACAATAAAGCTATGTCGCAGACTAGAAGAACTTTAAGTTAACTAGTTGTTAATAATATGTTAGTGATACCAATTCCCTCTATACGTTAACTGATTAGATGCTTTCCTTAAAAACAGCAATGTCTGGATGTTCTTCTAAAGAATTTGTTCAACTGACATCACCTGAAGAAGGAAACTGGCTTTCCCTTGGACGGGCGTTGACAACACTTCTCTGCCAAGGCCTTCGCCCATTCATAAAGAGAGAAACCGAGGCCTTCTACAATAATTTAAGGGCAGCGATGGCAGCTGGAGCGTGCACCTGTGTTTATGTTACGGGAAGGAAACCAAATCAGTACCATGACATGAGAGCCTGCCAGTGGGCAAACGTCCTTCAAGGTTACCACCTCGGAAGAAGGCTGAACTGGAAGCAAAGTGATTCCAGTAAATGGTTGGACCCAGATATTGGTCCCTGGGAGATAGCTAAACTCTTCCTCCCCGATGTCGGAATTCATTCGGTTGTAGAAAGTGTCGACGACTTGGAAATTACAAATATTCTTAATTTAATGTTCTGGTGCAATCATTTCACTGTTCAGCGCCCACTGATAAAGGATGTTCGTGACATTCGAAACACAAAATGGGCTCATGTACAGAAGTTGGAGTTGTCCGAAGTAGAAAAGAAGGATGCTTTTGGCGCGATTGAGAAACTACTCAAAGATCCAGCCCTAGCGAGTGATTTAGATGTCCGGAATGCCTTGCAGGAAATCTCAACTCTGAAAAGCACAAAAGAGGTGCACATTTTCAGAGCAGAGGTTTTGTACCGTTTTAAACAGGTGATCCAAAATGACATTACAGGCCTTAAGAGTGAATTGAAAATGTTTAAGAGAGAATCAAATAAAAACCAGAAACAACGTAGCCGTGTGGAGGGTCAATTACGAAAGCTCCAAAGGGCGAAAGAAAACTTGGAGAAAAAAACGAAAGGTACTATTTCCGTGCCACGCCACATTGTCTATCGTCTGCTTACCGTTGGATGTTACCTGGTCAGAAGTGCTATAGCCATAAGGAAAAAGCCGGTCTATACTTTGATGATGTTCTTGATCTTTTTTAGTCTCGTTGGCAATTTAGACGACAAGTCATATGGAGATGGTGAGTTATTATGATATCGTGTTTTTTTCTATCTTTGTTGGTATTAAAGTTTAGTAAACGTCACTGTTAGTTATTTCCGTATACATCGTCAGCAGTTCGTACGCAACAAGTGAATGATACGAACAAAAGCAATTAGGTTAATCAGCGCGCCAAATAAAAGCATCCTCATTTATTTATGTTAAAGGATGTCCAGCTGAGGATGTCAGTGCTCCATTCGATACCAAGGAGTTCAACTTGACCGACTACTTAGCTATGGCTCGAGAAAACTTCATTGGTCGTCGATGGTTATATAGTGAAATAGAAAATGCCCTCCATCCCCCAAGTACTGCCTCTGGCGTCATGATTGTCGGAGATCCAGGTGCTGGTAAGTCTGCATTATCTGCCCAATTGGTTTGTTCCCGTTCATCAAGTCGCACTATTCACGACCATATATTGGGATACCATCTCTGCAAACATTCTGACAAAAATACACAAATTGCTGGCAAATTTGTTCGTAATTTGGCAGAGATGATAGCTCGGAGAATCCCAGAATATGGTTACATTGTCTCGAACAGCTCCTACATTCTGAGATCGCTAAATATTGACTGCGTAACCATCAGAGATCCTGTAGGGTGCTTCGAACAAGCAGTTTTGACACCCTTGAGAAGCCTGAAAAATGTACCTAAGGAGAATTGGTATATTGTCATAGACGCTCTGGATGAATGTCTGACACAAACAGAAACAAGTCATAGCATTGTTTATTTACTCAACAACAAACTTCCTCGGTTTCCATCTTGGCTGAAACTTGTGTTGACATCCCGTAATGAATCGAGTGTATCCTTGAATACAGGCAGCATCGTCAAGTTAAGCATCAATCCTGAAGATTCTCGAAATATCGAAGACATCGAACTGTTTTTGACCACAAGATTTTATCGAGATAGTCCACTGCTTTATAGAGTGAAGACCTGGTTCGGTGAGAGCAGCGTGGAAAACACTGCAAAATTGATCTCTGCCTTGTTACGCAAAAGTCAGGGAAATTTCTTGTTTGTTAAGGAGATGATTCATCACTGGGAGACCACAAGGGTCAAACGAAATGATCCCTATGCACTACCTGAAACATTAGGGGAATTGTACCACAGTTATTTCCAAAGATTATACAATACAAGAGAGCAATTTAAACCTGTGCGTCGGGTGTTAGAATTACTTGTATCAACGTTTCATCCAATGACACACCGGGAAATTTTTGACGTACTCAAAATGAATGAAAAACAACTGGAAGAAGATTACGACTTTCGAGATCGAATGAAAGAACTTGGACATTTTGTTCGATATGGAAAGAATAACACAGTGACACTGTATCACTTGTCTCTAACCGAGTGGCTTACAAGCGAAAGGAATGAAAATGGCCCATTCTATGTCAGCAAAAAGAAAGGTCACGAAGTTTTTTGTGATTACTACCTTCGGCTTATTGGTGATGGAGGTAAGTCTGCACTGGCTACACATATTCTTTCTCTGGCGCAGCACATCGCCTGTGGCGGTTGGAGGGAGGCATATGTCAAAGAATTTCTCAAGTTTCCTTCACAAGTTGTCAACTCATCAGATCCTGGAAGTAATCGGACGTTACTGCACCACGCTGCTACGATCAATAGCACAGACGTATTAGAACTATTGCTACACCATTTCAGTTGCATAGACTGTGCTGATAAACGTGGAGTGACACCTGCATTTTTGGCGGCCAAGCATGGACTTGTTGACAATCTGGCCCTATTGGTAAAGAAGGGAGCTAGAATAAACCGTAAAACAAATTCAGTAAAGACCAAAAACGTACTTAATGGTATAGACGCGGCTAAGATACACAACTCTCATATTCCTTTTTCTGAAATTAAATCAAAATTTTGGGGGGCCACCATGCTCTACGGTGCTGCTCACGGAGGCCACCTGGAGGTTGTTAGGTTCCTTCTCGAAAACGGTGCATTAATTTCGACGGAAAGCGATGTTCATCTAACAGCACTTCAGGTTGCTGCCGAGAATGGACATGTAGAGGTCGTTAAAACTCTTTACAAATACGGTGGAGTTGCAGATCAAACTGCTTTACATCATGCAGTCGTAAACAACAGGCTAAACGTTGTAAAATACCTTTTGAAAATCGGTATAAAGGATAAATGTATGAGATGCGATGGATCTCTCTACTGGCTAAAGACAAAACACCGTTATCAAAGCCAGGTTAGGTTAGAGGATTTCTCTTTTCCCATCGAGAAACACTGCAAATCAAGCTATAAATTAGCTAATTGCCCGCTGATAGACGATGTATGTATTAAACGCGATGCTGTCTTCATTAATATTGAACTCGGCGAACTGTTCGACGACAAACATCTAATTTTCTGTAATACTGCACTGCACGCAGCAGTATCCTTAGGTCATAAGGCAATAATCGAGGAGCTCGTCTCAGGAGACAAACGGGCGTTAGCGTGTCGTGATTATTCAGGTAGGACACCACTGCACGAGGCTGTCCGAAGAAATAATAAGGAAGTGGTCGAACTTCTGCTCTCTAAAGATAAAGCACAGATAAATTCAACATGTGATCGATGGCAAGATATCGAGTTGCAAACTGAAACAAGCGTTAGTTTTGTGCTGAGCTATGAAGAATCCATAGAATACTATGGAGATGTTTGCCACTGCGGATATTCTCCTCTCCATCTGGCTGCACGCTATGGATATTTGAGCGTTGCTGTTGCTCTTTTGAAAAGCAAGGCAAGTGTTGGAGTTAAGGACTGCTCTGGTGCATCGCCACTTCATGTGGCTGCTTGTCATAATCACCGGAATATCATATATATGCTTCTGAAACTCGGTGCTGATATTAATAGCCGATCATCTAACGGTTCGACACCCATTCACAGTGCTGCAGCGTGTGGTGCTATTGAGGCAATTACCTATTTAATTTATCATGGAGCAGACATTAACGAAATCGATTACAGCGGGCTCACGCCTTTGCACTATACCATACGAAATATAACTTCAAATCAACTTGATCGACTACCTCTCGTGAATTCGACCAGCGAGGAAAACGTATTTCATCTGATAACGGTTGACCGTAGAGGCCATCTTGCTAGTTTTTATAATGAGGGAGACTACTGGAAGAACACAGATCTTTATCGATGGTTAGACGCTTTCATTCATTTGATCCTATATGGTGCTGATATGAATGCTGCTGACAAACTAGGTCGATCAGCATTGCACATAGTAGCTGAAAACGGTTTGGCTGATGCAGTCAATGTCCTTTTGCAAAGAGGAGCGAAGCTTGAAATGCACGACAGGTTGGGGAGAACACCATTGGAAGTGGCAATCGAAAGGGCCAGGGTATTACCTGAGCATTCGCAAGTAATCCCTCATGAGAAGAACTTTCAGGCCTTGCGTGAATATTTGCAAGATCATGATTTGGTCGTACACCTTCTTCTCTCGTCCGGTGTTTCATTTACAAAGTGTAATAGCTCCGGCGAAAGCTTATTACATCGCGCTGTCCTGAATAATCAGCCATATATTGCACAGATGCTGCTTTTAAAGGGAGCCAACATGAACTGTAAGGATAGTTTAGGACGTACTCCTCTTGTAGCTTTTCTTCATAATGGTGGAGATTGGCGCTTGGCAGATGCGATCTTCTTGAAAGGCTCCATGAAGATTAAGTGCGGAGAGCCATTCAACACATCTTTATTTCATTTAATGAGTTATTTTTCCCCAAAGCTTGAGGGTTACAACTTCTTTCAACAAATCTCGTGTGATAATCGAACATGTTCAAAAGAGAGTCCCTTTGAAAAAGCTGTTGAAAGGCACCGTTTGAAGTACACAGTCATCAATTCTTGTTTGGATGCCGAAGGATTCACACCGTTACACAGAGCTGCTCAGGGTGCCAACATAGTTGCTGTTCGTAACCTCGTGAAAAATGGTGCCGATGTTTCCTTACGAAGCCCACAGGGGCATGACGCCCTCACACTGGCCATTCTTTATAGTGGAGGTAATTTGTGGCCTTTTATGAGAACTGAAGCTAAACAATTAAAAATGGATGAAGCTTCTGACGTAGCCCTAGAACTACTTCGTTACAAAATGAAAACTGACTTCCAAATTGTGTGTGACTCCAGCAAATCTGAGCTGACTTTGTATCACTTGGCAGCCTCTCGTGGGCTAGTAAAATTTATTAAGGAGATCTTCAGAGACGGTGAACTTCATAGGTTAAATGTTGATTGCCCAAACAAGGATGGAATTACTCCAATGTACTTGGCTAAACTATGTAGTAGTAATGTGACCGAAATTGACCTTTATAACCCTTGGGCTGAAGTTGTACAGTTTATTGAGAACCAGGGAGGTCAAACACAATACCCAAACAGAGACGCTGAACTAAATTTGATCTACAACCGGTTGTATGGTTGGAGTCCAACGAGCTTCAAACTGAATACTAGGCCTGACGTTCAGAGTTTTGTCATTGGACTGTTATCTACTTACATGAATAGCACAACTACAACAATGGACTGCGAACCCAAATCAACTCTAATCCCAGTCATCAATGAGATTGGTAACCCCTCCTTAACATTGAACATTTCAACGGAACTGTTAAACCAGTTAAACCTGCTTAAACGCCGGAGCTGCTTGGGGATCATTGTGAAACTTGCTGAGCAGGATATCGCCATTTGTCGGAAAGAATTACAGAGATATGATTATTCCTATAAGGAATATAGAAGACACCTAGATCCTGCAATTTTCCGGTCCGAGGTTCCACTCGAAATCAAGTTGTACCACATAAACTCAATTCTTTACCATTTAATGATGATGTGGCACAAGGAAGTATTCCAACACTTTGCATGTTATAAGATAGTCTTCGATAATAATCGGCCATTTTTCCAGGATGACAGAAAATCTAAACAACTTATTAAGCAGTATGAAGACGGCACCCCGCTTTGGTATTTACAAAATATTTGTTCATGGTTGCAAATTGGATTTAATTTACATAATATTTATCATTTAACCAACGTTAATTACCCAGAGCTCAGCGTATATTTTTTCAAGCATCCAAGCTTCGCACGGGAGCGAATGGGATGGACTGTCGATGACAAGAATAATTCTCATTTTTGGCCGTTAGAATTTCTAGTTAAATTTTCCTTCGACCTGTATCGTAAGTACGACTATCTAAAGGTTCTTAACGTTGGACTTGGACCGGAAACTCGAATTTCTTTGCTTACAGACAAGGTAAGAAAAATACTTTTGGCATCATGAACTTGTTTTAAGTTTCCCTCAAGATTTCTTTGACATTTAGATATGTTAGATAGGTCAAGAATTTCAATGTTTCACATCAAATTTGTCAAATTTTAGCGACTCTCTTCCGTTTGGTAAATGTCTCTTGCAACATTTCCCCATCGAGATTTTATAGCAGCGTTGTAAGCTGAACGAATAAGAGATGACAGTCTTGAATTTGCACAAAAATTGTGATCTTTTTAGCTGCAATAAATTATTAGAGAATAATGAAACTAGGAAAAAACCAACGTATATATTTGATTTTCATTTCCCCTCTCCCTCAAATTTCCAAATATATACGCTACTTCCAGTTCTCATGGTGACGATGTCATTCATTAAAGGGTGGGTAATTAGATGGGAAGGGAACCGCGAGATACATACGGGGGTTCTGATTGGTTCTCTCGTCTCGTGAATATCACCATACGGACTGTTTCCACAGAAAAGATCTTAAACCTTTTATGTTTTGCTCTTGGCAAAGACGCAAGTTCAGATTTGCAACTGCGAAAAGAATGGCGTAGATACTCTCAGTCTTTGCACAGGAACTACGTAAAGATTCATATTTTACAGAGCTTACGACAAAGAAGACGAAAATTCAAAGTATTACCGTGAACACAAGAGAAATTCGGACTTAGAACGTGAAAAAGGGACGAACAAAAGCCTGACAACTTTCTCCATTTTCGTGACAAAGTAATCCTACAAAAGGAAAGAGGAGACAGAAAAAGAATTGCAGTAGAAAAGGCCGAAAAAGACTGGTGTTACATATCGGCTTTTTTACTGTTCAAAACTTTTTGATTTTGGTTCTATATTTTTGTAATTCTTGTTTTTAACACAGTTTCATAATTCGTCAGGAGCAATCTGACTGCAAGGGAAACGACAAGAGAGTAAAAGTTGAGAGCCTGAGGATGTTATCTAGCCTTTTCTATCTTCTCTTATCTAGCCCTTGTGTGTTCGAGCTTTCAAAAGAATGCGATTGGCGTGAATTCGTTAGAAGCCAACAAATTCTCTTTTAATTAATTCCCCACCTTTTCAGTTAACTGCGGGAAATGCGCAGAGAAAGTACACCGGAAATCAAACACTGTTTGAAAATAAGATCAACATTCATGCATCTGCTCGAATCTTTCGCTGCAAGATATTACGATGAAAGTAAACGGTTTGGAGATTTCAACCATCGAGATGCACACTGGAGGGGAACCGTTGAGAATAATCGCTTCTTGTTTCCCCGAGATTAAAGGAGACACTTTTGTGGACAAAAGACGGTATGTTCAAGAAAACCTTCATCTTCTTCGCAAGCTGTTGATGTCATGTAAACCTCACGGACCTTATGACATGTATGGCGCTGTGGTTTAAACTCCCTAAGTTATTCCTTTGTGAGGAATTGTAAAGTAGCTGCTATGCGTGATGAATTAATTTACTGAGAATTCACCCGCAAGCCTCGTTTGCATAAAAATATTCACGAGTCTTTGTTACTTTCTTGATGTTTTCATGAACGTATTCTTTTGAATTCAATGTTCTAGGCGTGGGGGTGAGATTACGAGCTCCGACGTAAACATGGGTGAGTCCTATAACAAACGGTTTTTGGACGCCGATTCAAGTACGATCTATTTAATGACAAATTTTCGTTTGGAAAACCGCAAGTAGGAAAATCGACTCAAGGTAGAGAGAGGAAAAAATAAATTTCCCGTTCTTTCGGGTGAAAAACTGCGATCCTGGCCTTGAAAATGCTGCCCTCAGCCCTAAAGACCACTGTCACCGTTTTATACTTACGGACCTCCCATCCGGCAAATCACATATATTTATACTACCGATTAAGTATAATATGAGAGGGTAAGAAGTAGAAGCGAATAAAATTGTATTTTTAGGCCTATTTTCTGCAAATCAAACATTATTAATACTTGCCCGCATTCGGAAAATAGAAAAGATAAAATGAAAAAAAAAAAAAAAAGAAATGGGTCACAAAGAGACAAAGAGCAAGCTAAACAGCGTGTAATTCATTTCCCATCCATTTTACAACCACCATCGCACATACAAAAATTGAAATATATACGAAATGGTTTTAATAAATATCTATGCCTAAGCGTTTGGGACAACATTATCTTCACAGGTAAATAGCAATTCCATGCATAACCACTGGGGGTCGACTTCATTTTTAGATGGGGGAAGGGGGATTGGGGTGGGGGAAAATCTTTGCTAGATTGCTTTGGGGATTGAAAAATGATTGGACTCATGCTGTGTTTGCCTGAGGGTTAAATGACGTTGTTGTTAAAGTTGTACTCAGCCCAATAGAGGACTTAATTTCGTCTTTTACGAACGCTACCATGTAAAGAACTTTAGTCATTTATTTAGCCAACGTTAATCCTAACACTAAGTCTGCCTAATACAATGTTGTACGTCTGCCTATGCTAAAACATTAAATATCTGGAAGTTGTGGCGGTTTCTTAGAGTTCCAAAGTGTGTTAGCGATGACACTCGACGCAAGTGGTGAGGTAAGCTCTTCCACCACACTGCACTACAGTAAAATTATGTGTGAGGAAGTGGAATTGCAAGCTTCTCTCCGTATTTCTCATATTATACGACGTAGGGTCGTTTCTTTCAATGAAATTGGACTTCAATATTCTGGGGTATAATGATGTTACCTTTTATAGACTAAGATCAGGCCTGGATTAAGCCTGGATTAAGATAGAACACTGACCATACGTTGATGATTCAGGTTTCTCCATTCAAGAGCATGTTTGAGTTTATCTGCGTCGCACCTATTCTTTATTGTAGACCCCGCAAAGTTCTCAGTCCACACAGACCTGGAATTAGAGATTTTTTTCCATCCTGGAAACTGAAATACTTTAAGAGAAGCCCTTCGTAACTACGCAGAGAACCCACAGCATACTGAACTCACAAATGAAGTGCTGTAAGCCACAGACCACGTGCACCGTATTCAATTTCAATTTTATTTCATTTAATTTCAAGTTTAAGGAGCTAGTAAAAAGCTATGATTATGTCTTCAAGAAGCCTTAGTTCCAGATTTCAAGGAAAGAAAAATTCGTATGGACTAAATTCCTTTTGTCGCTGTATTGGTGATGTTAACAAGCTTTGCCCGAGCCGTGTTACTGAGCACGATAGTTCTAAATTTACCGGAAAAAATTCTGCCCGAAACTAATGGTTATTTTTATACGACCTTCACGAAGAAACCTTTAAATTACTTCAGAGGGTACGTAAATTCGGCTCGCTTAATCAATTGTTGCATTGCACTACATACTGTTTCATCTTATACCGTTGTCGTAATTCGAGATTATTAATTCATCATTACTTCAAGTTCCATTCTGTATTGAAACACGAGACCCTGGTTTCAATCCAACGTCAAGAATTTTAAGATAATCATACTGACGGTACATCCCCAGCGTAAATTTAATGATGAACTCGGCTGGCCAATGTTTAAAAAATGTACGTATCCCTTGGCTACTTGTTTGCCATCCCATTCGCTCTCTTATGAAGTCTGGATAGTTCTGGTCTCTGATCTCTCCGCTATAATATTTATTATAGAAAATTGGCCAAAACGTTCTGAAAAATTTGCTGAGTGTGACTACAGTACAGACTCTGCTTAACTGGTTTAGCAACATGCTATCTTCATACTGTTTTATAAGTGTTTGAATTTTTATCTTATCCACGAAATATGGTCGATATTTAGAAAAAGCCATCTTGTAACAAGGTAACAAGACAAATCTTTCCTCATGAAAGGCTCTGATCATATAAAAAAGTTTCAATTCTAACTCAGAAGATTTTAACTCACCATATGCATGGCTAGAATCTAAATATCTGTCAAGCCATAAAGACAACCTCTTAAGTTCATTTACGCAGACGAGGTTTGGTATCCTTAGAGGAAAACCTCGACGTTTTGAAAGCAGAAGTTGTTTGATTAATTCTGCAAAAGTAGGAAGCCGAAAATTTTCAAAACGTAACTCCAATTCGCGTGAAATTATAGACTCACAACTCATAGAAGTCACATGCCCATGACCAAGAGAAGACAGATATTCGGCGAAGAAATTACGGACACCGGGTCTTAAATTTAACTTTGCTTCCTTCGGAATCCAGTCGTACAACCTATAATAGATGACATTGTATTCGGCATGTCTACGAGGATACTGCATCTGACCTCCTAGGTTCTCAATAAACTCCACAACCCCGGCCCAAGGGTTTGAATATTTAAACATACCATCCTCCTCGCGGTTGCTCGATAACTTCGCTAAGTACAATGGTGTTATTCCATCTCTGTTAGGACAATCAACATCTAACTGATGAAAGTCTTTATCATGAAAAATCCCCCTAATAAAGTGTAGAAGGCCTCGAGAGGCTGCCAAGTGGTATAGGGTCAGCTCAGCTTTACTGGAGTCACATATGATTTGGAAGCCACTTGTTTTCATTTTATGGCGAAGAAGGTCCAGTGCAATAACAGAAGCTTTGTAAAATTTCAAGTCACGATATTGGTCGGGAAACCACCATGAGGTATTCCCAGCATGGAGAAGAGCTAGTGTCAAAGCATCGTACCCATCGGGGCTAAGCGAACTCTGGTTTGCACCCAGCCTTATGAGGTTGGAAACAGCAACTGTATTTGCTCCTTGCGCTGCTCTGTGTAAAGGTGCAAATCCTTCAGCATCTAGACAGGAATCGATTAGTTTGTACTTCAAAGGGTGGTTTTCAATTGCTGTGAATAAAGGTCCTGTTCTAGAGGAGCACGAGTTATCGTTACAAGAGATTTGTTGGAAAAAATTATCATTCACCATGCTCGGAGGGGTATAACAAATCAAATGTAACTCAGAGATGTTGAATGGCTCTCCACACTTTATATCAACTGAAGCATTGAACCGTTTAAGGACCACGTCTACCCAGTCACTACCAACTTGAAGGTAAGTTAGGAGAGGTGTCCTTCCTTGGTTATCTTTACAGTTGACACTTGCTCCTTTAAATAGCAGAAGCTGAACGATAAGCAGCCGATTTTTCATAATAGCATGGTTTAGCAAGCTCACCCTAGAATGATTACAATTCGTCAATGACGCTCCAGATGAGAGAAGAAGATATACCACCATTTCGTGATCACTTAGATGTTCTTGAAGCTGATCTATGGTATCTCCAGTCGTAAACATCCATTGCTTTGGTCCCACTGCGACGTTCTTGATAGCTGCCGCCAATGGTGTTTCACCAGACTTATCGAAAACGTCAAACTGTGACTTTCCTTGCATGAGGACGTTGACAGCGTCGGCCAAACCATTTTTAGCAGCTAGATGCAGCACCGACCGACCATGTACATCGACTGCATTTATATTGGAACCGAGTATCATCAAATTGATAAAAACATCCAGCCACTGGAAAAAGTTTGTGTTCCTTACGTAGTTCTTATCATCATCGTAAAACTTTGCAAGCCTGGGATGACCTCTGAAATGGTTAGAATGTACGTCAAGGATACAATAATGCAATGCTGTGAGGTTATTGTCATCAGCAGCATCAAGGATCGCTCCATGGTAAACTAACTGGTCAGTTACCTCCAAAGCTCTACATGCTGCAGCGCTATGAAGAGGCGTCGATCCGTTCAAGGTTTTGCTACTGATGTTAGCACCGAACTTAAGAAGGACCTCCACCATATTTTGGTGATTATGACAAGCGGCTATATGAAGTGGAGTCACTCCCAGACCGTCTTTAGCCCCAACCATTGCCCTGTTTAGTAGGAGATCGGTTGCAATTTCCCAGTGTCCATACCTTGCGGCCAAGTGAAGAGGTGTATATCCACGAGAACATGTATCTTTTTTATATTCCATCAATTCTTTGTGACTCATACTAAGAAAATAAAAACTTTCAAATTGATTATCCTCGTAGCCGCATGTTGAATCTATTTCTGTCTGATCTTCCTCAAGCAGAGTAATCACTATTTCCCTGTTGTTTCTTCGAGCAGCTTCGTGTAAGGGTGTTCTTCCTGAATAATCCTGACACGCCAGCGCACTTTTGTCTTTAGATATAAGCTCCTTGACTACCTTATTATGGCCTGAAGAAATTGCCGTGTGGAGCGCAGTTTCGCAATAGACTAAATGTTTATCATCCCATAACTCACCATACGAGACTATAGCGAACTCTTGGATATCATTAAAAACATTGGGAAAAATAGTTGTAAGTTTAGTTCTAGACTGTAACCGGTGCCTTTCCGACTTCAACCAATAAAAAGAGCCATCACATCTCATGCATGTGTCTTTGACACCAATATCCAAAAGGTATTTTACCACACCTAACTTGTTGTTTTGTGCTGCATGATGCAGAGCGGTTTGATCGGCAACTTCACCTGCTTTATGTAATACCTTCACAACTTCTAAATGTCCTTTCTCAGCGGCTATCTGAAGTGCCGTTAGATTAACTTCGTTTACTACGGAAGTAAAAGCTTCGTTGTCTAGAAGGAAATTTACAACCTTCAGATGGCCTGCATGAGCTGCAGCGTGAAGCATAGTCGCCCCCCTCAACTTCAATTTCGATTCCAAAACTAAATCGGGAATGTTACGGTAACTTTCGAAATCCAGCGACGAAAGCGATTTTGTTTTTATATTAACATTGGCTCCTTTCTTTACCATTAACGCAAGATTGTCGACAAGTCCATGCTCAGCCGCTAAAAATGCGGGTGTTTTTCCAAAATTGTCGGCGGAATCGATGTCACTAAAGTGGCGCAACAGAAACTCAAGCACGTCTGTGTTATTTATGGTGGCTGCAAGGTGCAAAACCGTCCTATTACTTTCAGGATTCGACGAATTGACAACCTGAGAAGGAAATCTGAGAAATTTTTCTACGTATGCCTCCTTCCAACCGCCATAAGCGATGTGTTGCGCCAAAGGGAGACTGTACTTTAATAACGCACGCTTTCCTCCCTCGGTAACACATTTAAAGTAAAAATCACAAAGTGCATTGTGTCCTTTTTTCCTACTTACGTAAAATTTCCCATTTCTGACATTGTCGCTTGTAAGCCACTCGGTTAAAGACAAGTGATACAGTGTTACTGTATCATCCTTTCCGTATCTCAGAAAATGTCCAAGCTCCTTCACTCTATTTTGAAAATCATACTCTTGTTCCAGGTTTGCCTCCTGAACTCTAAGAATGTCAAAGATTTCTTTCGGCGTAAGTGGCTGAAAAGTTGCCACGAGTAATTCTAAAATCTGTCTCACAGGTTTGAAATGTTCCTCTCCATGGTATAATCTTTGGAAGTAATTATGATACAACTCTTCTAACGTTTCAGGCAATGCATACGGATCACTTTTTATATTTCTTGAAGCTTCCCAGTGACGGATCATTTCTTTAACAAACAGGAAATTTCCCTGGCTTTTGCTTAACAAAATAGAAATCAACCTGTCTGTGTTTTCTAGGCTTGCATCTCCAAACCAAGCTTTAACGCTGTTGAGCAAAGGACCGTTTTGATAAAACCGAGTAGTCAAAAATAGTTCGATATCTTCAGTGTTTCTAGAGTCTTCAGGGTCAATGATTAACCTCTTGATACTTCTTACATTAAAGGAAATGGTGGATTCATTGCGAGATGTCATCACAAGCTTTAGCCAAGATGGAAAACGAGAAAGTTTGTTGTTGAGCAAATATACGATACTTTGTCTAAATTCTGTTTGTGTGAGGCATTCATCTATAGCATCAATTACTAAATACCAATTTTCTCTAGGTACATTCGTGAGGCTTTTCAACGGTGACAAGACTGCTTGTTCAAAACAACCCATTGGATCTTGATTGTTCACACAGTCAGTATGTAGTGAACGCAGAATGTATGAGCTGTTGGAGACAAGGAAATCATATTCGGGGATTCTCCGTGCTATCATCCCAGCTAAATTACGAACGAACTTGCCTGCACTTTGTGTATTCTTGTCAGAATGCTTACACAGATGATATCCCAATATATGGTCATGAATGGTGCGACTTGATGTACGGGAGCAAACTAACTGGGCAGAAAGGGCAGACTTTCCAGTTCCTGGATCTCCGATAATCAGAACTCCAGTTATACCATTTTCTTGGACCGGACGACTGAGAACAGATTCCAGCTCTCGATAAAGCCAACTACGACCGATGAAGCCCTCTTTTGCACTTTTCAAGTAGTCAAACCAACCAAACTCTCTAGTTTCAAATAGGACACTAAAATCTTCGGAGGGGCAGCCTGCGAAAATATATTTTTATTTTTTATCTTCCAGAAAGGAAAGCTCCTAAGGTCTCGAAATGGCTTTAAATTGGTGAAACTATAGAAGTTGAATTTTGACGTTCACAGAAAAAAGTCAAAAGTTTTCTCAAGTATGCGACAGTTCATGACGATTAATAGTCAGAAAAAAAACGGCTGGTTACGCTGTTACAAAAACGGGCTCCTTATATCACTTGGCAGTGGTGGTTCTAGGGGAAGGGAGTGGGGGTCCTGACCTCATCCCCTCCATCAGACCTGAGAGGCTTTCTTACTACTTGTCTGGCACTAACGTTCAGCACACGTATCACAAGGTATTGACCCGAATCTTTGGCATCCAAATCTAAACTAAGGATGGAGAAGGTGTGCCGCAGCTTTAACCAGCTCGCTCGGCCTAAATCAATTATAAAATTACTTGGTAAAACTTATTTACAATACTAACCGTCTCGGATAAAAGTGTCATCATCCAGCTTTACAAAGAGGCTGAAACAGGTAGCCATTAGTAGCCATATTACCAAGGCTTGTCTGATCCGTTTGAGATTTCTAGCGAGGGTACCGAGCAAGCTTTCCAAAACTTTTAGTACGAAACAAAAAAGTGATGACATGTCGTTCTTTTTCTCCAGGCTTTCCAATCTCATTTCTAAAAGCAAAACTAGTTGTTTTGTTTGGTCCAACTGCTCCTGGCTGGTTTGGGACTGTTGCGTCACGTGTGAAATCTCCTTGTTCAGCACTTTAATAAGCTCTGCTACTACCTGGGCCTCGAAAATGTGCAAGTCTGAAACATTCTTAAGATTTTCGATTTCTCTGAGCGCGCTCTGTGCGTCTGGATCTATGGCTAAGTGAGGACTCCTCAGCAGGTTTTCAATGGAGTCAAAAGCGACAGTCTTCTCTGCATCGGGTAACTCAAGCCTCGGCACATGCACCCATTTGTCGTTTCGAATGTCGCGGACATCTTTAATCAAAGCCTGAGGAATGGTAAAGTGACTGCACCAGTACATTAGGTTTAAGATACCTGTGACGTCCATGTCGTCTGCACTCTTGATATCAGCATGTCCACCCAGATCAGGAAGGAA